GATCCTCTATGGCTACGCCTATGACTGCGATGGTAAAAATAAAGTTTTTGCTAGTGAAAATTTAACGGTGAGAGAAATACAAGCACCAAGCGAAACAGCGAAACGAGGGGCCATAAAACAGTGGTCAATTAGCAACTCTGTTACATCACTTCAGTTCATGAGGCATTCAACAGCAACAGCTCCCTCAACGGACATCCAGGATGGCAAACCGCCCGCGATTCGGTTTGCTTCACTGACAAAATGCTATAAAACTAGAAACAAACCGCTGTTTTGCTAAAAGGTTTGATTGGATAAATGGGCTTCGTTAATCTGACGTTCCCAGGCGGTTGGTCGCCGGCTTCCCACCGCGGAAACCCACTTTCCATCCCAGGTCATATGGGATTTGTGGTAGACGAAGTGTTTGTGGGACAGATTTTATACGAGTAATTCGGTTTCCCCTACCATTTTTGCTCCACCAACTGTTCAACATTCATCTACCATCTTGGTTCATCCTAGTCCGTCACACTAGTAATTGCATGTACGTCAAGTGAACGATGGTTAAAAATCTTATATATCATCTACCCTCATTATCATAATCATCATCCGAAGACCGGTACAAGAGCCCAAAAGCGGTCGGAGTACCAAGAGGACTCAGTCTCACCCTGTCCTACCAGTTAAAAAAATGTTACAAGATCAACCGTTGTTCTGAAAGGTAATGCATACAGGACTTCTTCATGCTGATATAGCGCAGACTCAATACTCAGCTATGTGAACCACCTGACACTTCGGGCAGCAGAAACCAGAGGTTCAAAACTGCCAACACCAGAGTCCGCCACTGCACTCATCTTGAGCCACTTCCACCCACTTTCGATCCTCGCGTTCTGTTTCTAAAGCCTGAATTTTCCCTTAGGCGAGAGGATTTTACGTTATGCAGTTATGTGATGTCCTTTTCCTCGTGGATTAAATCAAGACTGTCAGTTTGTGAACTACGTAACGGCGAATTAAAACATGAAATAGCTCCTCAATTATCATCACGAGGCTGAGTGGACCTCGTTCCAGACTCACTACTTCTCAGAAAATCTGGCGGCGCGGGAATCGAACTCGGGACCTCTGGATCTGTAGCCAGGAACTCTGACTACTTGATCGCAGAGGCGGTCCATTATGGTCACTTAGAAAATAATATAAATGGATAACATCTCTAAGGAACAAACCTATGGTGTTTCTTGTATACTGCGAGGCACCGAATAAAAATAGGATGTAATCTTTCTAATTCATCACAGCAGGAGTACCACAAACACATTACGAAAAACCCCTCTTCAAACTGTGCACCGACATTAATCCGCTGCTAAAACATTATTTATGCCGCTGTAAGGCTACGGGGCTCTAATTCAAAAGGAAATGCGGCAGAGGGCTCAAACTGTCCGGAACGTTTTGTGCTTAGACACAGCATCTGGAACTTCGCGCTTTCGTAACACAACCTAACGACCTGCTACGTAAATCTCCAGATTTAATCACCGATAATTATATTTTAAGCAAATCGAATCCACTTGAGCTGGCTTGCGTTTCTGTGCTCGTAAGCGGTAGAAAAGCACCTGCTTCTTCTTAAAATTAGAACTGCCTTCCTCACCACATCGACACGGCCACCGTTCGCTCCAGGATGCACTGCACAGAGCGGATCCAACTTCTGCCTATCATGGCCGTGCCACAGCTCAGGCTTCCTACAGCGGCGGCCCGGGTTCGAGTCCACGTCAGTTCATGTGGGATTTGTGGTAGGCAAAATAGCACTGGGGCAGGTTTTCTTCGAGTACTTTGGTTTCCCCTGCCAATTCTCATTCCACCGACTTCTCCACACTCATCATCATCTATCATCCGGGGCTGGTACAGTAGGCAAATTAGTGGCCAACGTACCAAGTGGACTCAGTCTCACCCCATACCACGAAACTAAAAAGAAAAATCTAGTCGCCGGCTTCCCACAGCGGCGTCCCGCGTTAGATCCCAGGTCATGTCATGTGGGATTTGTGGCACTGGGGAAGGTTTTCTCCGAGTACTGCTCCACACTCATCATCATCCATCAAGCGGAGCTGATAAAATACGCCAAATAATGGCCGACGTGCCAAGTGGATTCAATCTCATCCCATCCCAAGAAATTAACAAAAAAAAGTCCATCATAGGACAGAAATGTTCGTTCTATACGAACTGGAGAGCGCACACGGACGTAATACAAAGCACGAGTTTATGGGCCATGCGAGTATAATTAGAATTGGCTTCCTTCCCCGTGCTGTCAAGGCCACTACATCTCCAGAGCGCACTGCGTAAGGCCAATCTAATCTAAGTTCATCTTCACGAAGCGGAAATTCTTAGTAGCAATCTTGTATACTGCATGCATGTTTATTTGTTACGAAGGCAATTTCATAAAACTTGGTCAGGCGGTTAATTTTCTTTAAACCGCGCTAGTTACTGTCTGTGACTACAGCCCTTTGTTGGGCCTTAGCCGCGTTTCATTTTCTTAATCCTATACACAGTCCGTACGACTCCTTGGACTGGAGATCAGTCCGTCGCAAGGCCTCTACCTACACAGAGAATAAACGCACACAGACATCCATGTCTTGAGTAGGATCCGAACCCAAGACCCCAGTGTTCGAGCTGGCGAAGACTGTTCCTTCCTCAGGCAGCGCGGCCACTGTGACCGGCCGTTAGTTAGTAGACAACGCACAAATGTCGTTAACTGTAGGCTAAATAGCGCTGGTCATATGGAACCCGACAGTTCATTACCGTGTTCACAAGAGCCCGCCAACAGAACCTATCCTGGACATGCGGCTCACAGTATCACATACATTTTCCTTTATCTCAATATATCCAACCACTTATTATCCAGGTGTCTTTAACTGTGTCCTCTCATTAGATTTTCCATTTCTACGTGCACTTCTCGTTAACTCCAATGAACAGTCCTTCTTGAGAATCTTGAGACATTTCTCGCCTCTTAAGGAAAAACAAGTATAGGGCAATATCTAGCAGCCTGCCTATATAGATATGCGTAACATAAAATTACGTGCATCCAAATGGACCACTGCCAATTCCTGCGGCGTGATTTATTAAGAACTGTAATTTATTAAAAACAGGAAAAAAGAACAACTCAACGCCACTAAATGAAATTTAAGGCTTCCTGGGAAAACAGCGACCTCGCTTCCCCGGAGGACTGACGAATGAAACTGCGAAACAGAAAACACTAAAAACGTAACAATGAAGGATTCGGTACAGCGACTTCAGAATATCTCTGGTAGGTCCGTGTACCGTTTTGTTCGATCGCTGTGCACATACACATACTTGTTTAACAGTAACAGTTTAACCATTAAAGCACAGTGGTTTTCTGTACAACATTTAAAGTCTTACACTTTCCCCAGTGAATTTATGAGTTTTGTATGAACATCAAATTACACAGCGATTATTTCCCTAACACAACATTAACCGATCAGTCCTTGACACGGGGATGCCCAGAGTTTCTTGTGAAGTATGAACTGGATTTACAAATATGACGAGCTTCTGGCTTCGACGAATTAATGCTCTTTTCCTGAACTAAATCCGATTTAACGTTGGACATTAATAAAGTTTAAAATTAGTATTTCAAGCACTGCAGAACATTCGTGGGTTACGTAAGTTGTTAAAACNGTGAAACATTACCGGCTGCGGTAGGAGTTTTTAAATCTGCTAGTTATAACGAAGCCGGTCACGGTAGCCGAGCGGTCTAAGGCGTGCACTGTCTTCGCTCGCTCGGACGCCGGGATCGTGGGTTCGAATCCCACTCAGGGCATGGATGTTTGTGTGCGCTTTTCTGTGTTTGTGTACAGGTAAGGGCCTTGCGACGAGCTGATCACCCGCCCAAGGAGTCCTACCGAATGTCTAAGATCTAGAAAAACCGAAGTGAACGGAGTTCATGGAGGTAGGCCTGGGCCCACTGGGGCTGTAATGCCAAGGAAAAAAAATGTCAATATAAACATCTATCACGATCCTCTGAATATATTCTGGATATAACATTCCTTCATTGCAAAAGTTTGGGGCTACAGTCCCACTTTCCATGAACACAATGTCTCTTACGGGGAATTCTACACGATGTAGCTGGGTGGCTTCATCATCGTTGTAATTTGGCCTAGCCCTTCATTCAGATTGGGTGAAATGTGTTCTTCCTATCTGATCTGTAAATTTCGTCGAAGAACTACCTCGAAGCAAGGGGCCCATAAATACTATGCGATAAAACGTTAAGACCTTTGTTTAGAAAACACATGGCGAACTTTCGATCTCCAATTTCGACAATCGATACCGAAGTCGATCCAGTTGCGATCCAGAATTTCGTAAATAACTCCATAGAACATAACTCTTCAACAGCTTACAGTCACTCTGGGCTGGATCCGGAGCATCAAAATGAGGAGGCCCCTAATAGTAACAACAAATTGCGGTCATGGCTTTCTTTGTTGTTATTTCATACAACTAAAAACACAAACATTCCGTGATTTTTGATAAGTAAACATCTCAATAAAATCTGCGGACTCTATTTTTGTTTTGTGTAGACCCCGGGGCAAGCGCCCCGGCACTCCCCTGAATTAGGCCCTGTAATCACTCAGCTGTAGAGATATTCTCCATCCCTTATACACAAAATCCTAGGTTTATTATAGAGTTCACAAGAGCCCGCCACTGGACCCTAATGCCGAGCCAGTTCAATCCAGTCTACATATCCATACAGTTTCTTTTAGACCTATTTTAACATTATCCTCCCACCTATAAAACGTGGTGTCAAAAACTTCACGAAAATCTCCTAAAAATCTTCGTAATCATGCTCACAGCATAAAGAGTCACAGTGCAAAGGAACGAGGAGCGTTCATTCACAAATGCATCTACACAAATTTACAGATATTACCCTGTAGCAAATACGTCACGATAAACCATGAGATTCTGCACGAAGAACAACGACTTTAGGCGATGCAGGTTATTCAGCACCGAACCAGGCGATAAAACCTTGCAGATCTTACCTGTAATCGCGGCAAACAAACAAGACGTCAGCAACACAGCACCTCTGCTGAACTTCCCCATTGCTTCAGGATCTGTATTCACTCCTTGACTTCTTCCTTGATAACACACTGAGATAAGTTCGTTGTTATTTCCCCGTTGAAACAAATTCCAACTCCAGTCTTCTCTATACTCCTTTAAAAGTAAAAAAAGGGCACAACTACACGAATTACTTCGTGTCGGATGTCAATTAGGGTACTTTTTCATGCCCCCCACTTGGAAGCTTAAAAACTCATGCAACACTTGATACCCTCACAAGTTTGTTTCTGCACTTTGGGGACACTCTACAGCAGAAAGCACCTTCTAATATACTTTCTAAGAAATTTCTTGCTTTTTCTAATAATATTACGCTACGCATCCGAACGTCACTGAAATACTATGTTTACGGCGAACTAGCCATCCTCTGCCGACCGGCACAGCCACCTGGCACTCCAGCTCACTTTCGTTCTATCCGCGCGTGTGAGTAAGAAGGCAGTGGGCAAAAAAAAAAAGGCATCGCCCGTACTGGAACTACTTCCTAGCTTCCGCGCGCGCGCACTACACTGTACCACTCCGCAACAGCGCACACTCAATTACACCCACATTATCGAAAGATAAGATGTTTCATAATCTCAGCAAACAATACTATCAGGTAAAATGATTTGTAGAATCACTCAAAGTACCCGTTCCTTAGTTACACTCCAAAAGAATTCTCCTACACAACCTCCAGTAACCACACAACTCACAACAGCGACGACCACGACTGCGTTTCTCCCACCCAGCTCGCTGTACCTCTCCCGCTCCCGCGCGCTCTCACTCACTCAATTGCTCGCTCACTCTCTCTCTCTCTCTCGACAACCTGTTTACGAATACCGAGAGTGAACGATACTAGCGACATCTCTCAGCCATATTCTTACGTCATATCAACAGAACCCGGGTCCAGAAATGATTTTTGCATATAAATCTTTCTACTCACCAATGTTTCACTGAATAAACCTATCATGAAGTAAGGGTCAAGAGAATAAGTGATTTTCAAATATGATCTGTGTGCATTGTCCCTGTGCTTAATTAATTGAGCACCACGTTATGAGAGTCTATGGGGCATTGGAGGTATAGCTCCACCATTCTTGACCTCAGCATTAAATGGAGCTGATTTGTCTGCTTCATTTCCCCGCTGCTTTACCCCCGGGAAAGAACCCCGGTACCCATTGGATGGGAGGCTGGGTGGTCCGCAGAGAAGGTCCGGACGCCGAGGAGAAGGGAATAATTTCTCGCCCTTGCTCGGAATCGAACCCCGGCAGTACAGCTCGTAGAGCGTCGCTAAACCGACTGAGCTATCCCGGCTATGTATGATCTGTGGGTTTTGTTACTTATTCAAAACACTATCAGAAAGAGAATCTTTGACTGCCCTCAGGGATATCAATTTATTGAATTTAGAATGGACGTGGAATGAAAGTAGATTCCTCGCCAGTTGAGACATACTGTACATGGCTTAACTGATAACGCTCCCAGTCTGTAGGCAATAGAATCGAGCCGTAGGATTTTGGGGGGGTAATGAAATGAAACAGCCGGTCACGGTAGACGAGCGGTCTAAGGCGTGTACTGTTTCGCTCGCTTGGAAACCGGGATCGTGGGTTCGAATCCCACTCAGGGCATGGATGTTTAGTTTGAGTGTGTGCGTTTTTCTGTGTTTGTGTACAGGTAGAGGCCTTGCGACGAGCTGATCGCCCAAGGAGTCCTACCGAATGTGTAAGATTTAGAAAAACCGAAGTGAACAGAGAAGTTCATGGAGGTAGGCCTAGGCCCACCGGGGCTGTAGTGCCAAGGAAAAAATGAAAGGGATGTGAAATGAAGTCAATTTGGCTCAATCTGAAATACCATCCCAGTATTTGACTGGAAGGACTGAGTAAAACAACGAAAAATCTTAAGGATTGCTGGTGTTCCGTCCGAAATTCGAATTGCACACATCATGATTACGAAGTCAGAAAAATTATCGCTTGAGTCGACTTCCTTCGTACTAGCTCAAATAACATTTTCAGTTCTGCAGTCTAATGTAGTCGGAGTACACTCTTGTCTCCATAACGGTCGCTCATTTTCATGCCCAAAACCAAACCCTGTCAGCATCAACCTATAACTTGATATCGGGGTACACGAAACACGCTGTATCGCCCATTTGGCTTCTAAAACTTGCAATTTATACTGCATTACCAACATAGCTGCACTTAGTGCCTATTTTTGCTGAAATATATATATATATATATCAAATGGCTTATCAGAGCTGCACCAAGAGAAAACCCACGACATAGTAGAGCGATTTTTTACCCCAAGGGGGCAGGGCCCAGAATACATTATGCCAGGAATTTTTTTGTGATAACCAAAGATACATCATACAATAACCCATTTCAAATAAGAAAAGAAAAATTAGTCTAGGTCAGCCACCCTGCAAGCCTCATCTTAAAGGTAGGAACTTGTACGGACTCCAAATGACAAATTGTCCCTATGCTTAACTAATTAAGCACTACACCATGAAGACGTATGGGTGAGTGGACGTATAGATCCACATTTTCTTGACCTCGGCATTAGCTGGAGGTGAGTGGTCAGCTTCACGCGCCTTTCGCTTTAACCCTGGCGAAAGAGACCCCATTACCCAATGGCGAGGAGGTTGGGTAGATCCCAGAGCCGGTCTGGACCACGTGGAGAAAAGAAAATTCTTGACACTACCGGGACTCGAACTCCGACCCAGTCGCTATATCGACTACGCTATCCCAGCTCCTGATTGATCAAGTAGGAAATAAAACATTAAGCATGAAATCGACATTAACCCACAGAAATATTTATCTGCTGGCCTTCAGAGATCCGCAACTGTTAGTCCATAGTAATCCGAAGCTATTAAGTCATGTAAATCACTGTCAGTGCAAGACTTTGCAATGAGAAATGTGGACGGCACAGAGCTGACGGTTGAAACCCAGTAGGTCTACAGACAGCCTAACCCCCGAAGTTAAATTCGATTGAAACATTAAAAGCACTCTCTTTGCGGGGTCGCTACGAGGATTAGCCCGTGTAGGTTCCAATATTAACTGACAGATGATAATGACATCATCACGCGTAGTCATTATTTTAGTAGCAGTATTCAATTTAGAAGCCACAAAGAGTCCAATGCTGCATAACAAGTTATCTCACCCGTGCAAAATAGAAGCCTCACAGCCATATGCTATCTTTTAACGATGAGAGGGCGAGGAAATACAAACGCCAGTCTGTCTGAAACGTGTAAGCTGAAACAAGAGCACGATTTTTAGGGAACTCTTGCGATCGCTGTTGGTACGCTGAAGCCCAAAACGTCCCTAACTGTAGAGCAAGGTCACGGGAGAACAATTATACCCACCAGACAGTATTAAAAGTGCCCCTGAGTTGGGCCTTCATGTGCAAGTATCCTCTGTACTCAGTAGAAGTTTTAAACGCAAGAGACATAAGAAATTAATTAAATAATCATTAGAATGAAAGCTGTTTCGAACGGGTCATAATAGACGTATCATTACTACACTGAGAGAGTTAGCCCAGTATGTAAGGTTACTGTCCTATATTCTGGAAGTACCCGGATCGAATCTTGGCCGGGAAACCGACTCGCCTTAAGTTTACCATGGTTTTACTCAGTCTCACGATGGAACTGCCGGAATAGTAACGTAATTTTCCTAAATTAAGCCACGACCACTTCCTTCCATGTCTTATCCATTTCATTATCCCGTATCATCTAGTGGTGCGACGTCAGGTAGTCTGAGTTTTCGACAGCGTCGTTAAACATGCTTCGAGACAAACAGAATAAAAATAAACAAGTATCATTACTTTCTAAAACATTTCCTTAAAAGCTGTTTGAATTAATATTGCCTATTAAAACTATCTAAAACTTCTAGCTCCAACTTATATTTCAAACTCACAAGACCGCGTGGTCGTCATGTTGATATTGTCACGTGTTACAGTGACTATAGATGGGGTTTTAATTAATAATCGGATTTATTGAACAATCTAACGCACAAATCGTGAGTACAATTTACAGATCACTATTACACAGATACTAGTGTTCTCAGTCACGGTCTTCACTGCGCTGCTTGGTAGTGGCTTCCAACAGTGGATGTTCCCCTTCCTCTGGATTCGCGAACTGTCTCCGGCCTCAGCTACGAGCTTCAGCAACTCTCAGCTGACTACCTGCTTGCTGACTTTCTCTCGACTCACTGACTGACTGACTGGCAATCATCTCACATCAACCTCTTACTCTTCAAACTGCCGTTTCATGTATCTTTAATAATGGCAGTTGGTCCTCGTTATAAACAGATTCGGCACGGACAGCGCAGAGAACACCGCTTCCAACAGCTCTTCTATTGTTGCTTGCGTTTCTGTTGCGGTCATTGTTTAACAACGGCCGTTTGTGATGGCTTCACACTTTTGGCTTTCAGCAGACAAGATAAAGTAGTCTCCAACACCGTGGTGTCCATCTCAAGTTTCACGACACTTTGCACCTGCATTATTCAGTGCATAAATGAATCATGGGGCAGGGAGACAATTGAAGTTTTGTGTCTGCGGATCCCACTCCTGAAACCATACACGTCATAATGAATCGAGAAGGACTATATCGATTGTTTCTTTATGGCCGTGGGTTTGCATGAAGGGGGGAGAGCGAGACAAAGAGAAGTTTAATTCTGTATCTGTGACGCTTTATTTCTTGAATTTTATCAGTGTGCAATATTTTTCCTCTCTCATTTCGTTGTGTTTCATTTTCTTTTCCTTATTGTGACTAGCTACAGAGTTTCTACTTTATCATACGGATACGTGGAAGGCTTCGTTTTAATACGTATATTCAAAGAGATATTGTAATAGGAAAGAATAAAGAAAATGAGAAAATTTAAAACAGCGAGGAAGAATAAGTCAATGAATACCGTGCAGTGTCTTCACGTAATCTGCCCCCCCCCCCTTTTTATTCTGGCATTCTTCGTGGTTCCAAGAAAAATAAATTTTAACAATATTTTCATAATCTTGTTTCTGGTCGCATTACAACTTAGTCTCAAACGTAAAGACATTCGAGGTGGCCAGTCCGTATCTTTCTTTACAGAGCTTGAACTTCGGTAATAGGCTCCGTAACTACGTTACTCCTTATTTCAAAATAAGGACATAACATCTGGGGAGATGAAAATACAATATATATCTGAAAACATGATTCGGAGCTCCAAAGGCACAAATATCAAATCACAATTTTACTTCACTTTATCCGCTCATGCTACATCCAGCTTATTATTTTATTTCCAAGAGTCTCACAAAAGCCCCCTTTTCTCCCATAACACATTCTGTCTCTGTCGGATCTTACTGACAGTGAGACTGAAAACCGGCTCGTGTGGTTTCACAAACCCCTGCCTCCTCTCATTACTATGGCGCAAGTGACGCGTACATGCCAGACTTCGTATGATTCATCCGTACTCAGTGGCATTTCTTGTGACCGAGTGGATATCCCAGAACCGTTATTTTTTCCCCTTTGGCACTACAGCCCCAGTGGGCCTAGGCCTACCTCCATGAACTTCTCCCTTCACTTCGGTTTTTATAGATTTTACACATTCGGTAGGACTCCTTGGGCAAGGACTCTACCTGTACACAACACACAGAAAAACGCACACACACAATCTAAACATCCATTCCCTGAGTGGGATTCGAACCCACGATCCCGGTTTCCAAGCGAGCGAAGACAGTACATGCCTTAGACCGCTCGGCTACCGTGACCGGCCCCAGAACCGTTATACT